TGGTACTCCAAATTTTTATGTTAAGTGCTTAGCTAATTTAGAAGATTACATTAATGAAACCGTTACCAATGAAAAGGAATCCACCAAGAAAATGAATGCCACATATTCCAGAGCTTTCAACACCGTAAGACAAAGAGTTAAGAAACAAATTAAAGAATATCAATCTCATATGGACTTATTCAGATCTAAACCAGAATTATTTGAAACAGAAGAGCCATTAGAAGGTATTGCAAGCACAATTGCTGGTGCACCTCAACTTAATGGTGATGAAGACTCGAATGCCTTTACTTCTGTAGGTGCTAAGACTTTCAGTCCAATCTTCACAACTTTAAAGCAAATTTCAGAAACTCGTGGTAAGAAAAACATCGACAAGGTCGAGCAAATCCAAACTTTAGAGGACTTGTTGAATGATACCGCGTCTACCGGTACTCCATTTGAATTAATTTCTATTTACCAAATGTTATTGTCAATCAGATTCGATGCTTCTTCTAATCAATCATTTATGCCAATTGACCAATGGAAGAAGAATGAAGCTGATCTTAATTCATTCTTGCAATTATTGAAATCTAAGTCTAAAGAATACCAAGTTTCTGAATTAGGTACAGTTACGGATGATATTGATATCGAACCTACTGCCAATGCTGATGGTGTCAAGGTTATATTTGGATCTATCGCTTCCTTGATTGAAAGATTAGATGACGAATTCACAAGATCTTTACAATATTCCGATCCACATTCTATCGAATATATTGAAAGATTAAAAGACGAAAGCATTATCTACAAATTGATTGTGAAAGGTCAATTATACGTCGAATCTACTACTCCATTAGAGATAAGATCGAAACATGAAGCTGGACAATTATTTAGAATTGTAATGAGAAGATTAGAACATATTCATTATAAACCAAATCAACTAATCGCTGCTAACGAAACTGAAGCATGGAAGAATATTGACACAAACGTTGATTCAACAATTGTTCCAAGAAATTCTGATCCAAATGATTTAGTTGTTGGCTTAGCTGAATTCTTGACCCAAAATGCCAAGTCCATCTATGGTAAGAATGCATTGTTAAGCAGCATTTACTATTATGCAATTAACAACCAATATGCCAAAGCCAGGGACTTGTTTTTATCATCCCATATTTATAGTACTATTCATAATTCTGAATCTTCATTGCAGGTCATGTATAATAGAGCATTGGTGCAATTAGGGTTAAGTGCTTTCAAAGCTGGTGTTATTGAAGAATCTCATCAAGCATTAAATGAAATTGCTAATTCTCAAAGATTAAAAGAATTGTTAGGACAAGGTTTCAACTCCAAATATCCAAGTCAAGCTACTACTGCTGAAAAGCAAAAGTTATTACCATTCCATATGCACATTAATTTGGAATTATTGGAATGTGTTTTTATGACCAGCTCCTTATTAATAGAAATCCCGGCTATGGCTGCAGTCTCTAGCTCTTCTAAAGATTCTAAGCGTAAGGCTTCTCTTAAATCTTTCAAGAGTAAGTTGGATTTCCATGATAGGCAATATTTCACTGGCCCACCAGAAAGTATTAAGGATCACGTTGTTCACTCTTCAATAGCATTGCAAAAAGGTGACTGGGCAAAGGCTTATAAATTGTTATCTTCAATTAAGATTTGGAAACTTTTCCCAGATAACGAACAGTTATTATCTATGATGAAAAAACAATTACAAGTTGAAGGATTAAGAACTTATATCTTTACTTACAAATCCATTTACACCAAATTATCTATTGCAAAATTATCAGCTATTTTCGATATTGAGAAGGAGTCCGTGTATTCTATAATCGATAATATGATTCAATCTGGAGATATCAGTGGTTCTATAGATGAATCTAAGAGCTTCGTGAACTTCACAACTAACGAGCACCAAAGAACGAAGTTACAAGAATTAGCTATTGTTATGAATGAAAAGGTTGGCTTATTAACAGAAAAGAACGAGAAGACCGCTTCTAACGGTTACAGCAGAAAGCAACCAATGCAACAACAACAGCAACAACAGCAACAACAACAACAACAAAAGGAACAAAAGGAATTATTGCATGAAGAAAACAATAGATTCAGATACGCTAACGTTAACGCTAACAATGATGAATTCCAAACTACTGCTTAAGTTTGAACCTTTGTACAATTGACTTTTCTTTCCTAACTATCATTCCTATTTTTGCATGGCTTCTCTGCATAGAAAGATTAGGGTGTACTTTTGATTCATAGATTTGATGATCATGATAACGATGAATGGTGCTTATAAAAGATGCTGATGATTATTACATATCATAGTCTAATTTTTATTTAATTTATAACCCAATATTGTTCTAGTTTTAATTAAATATACAGAAATTTTATAGTTTTTTCTATCGCTAAAGTTCAGCCGCAAGAAATGAGGTTCAAAATTTTTTTCTTTATGGCATTATAATCAAAGTGAGATAAAATACTATCAAAGAATACTAATTATAAGGCCAAGTAATAATACATAAAGCGAAAAAAGATGCCTGAAGAGAAATTAACAACCAAGAAGATTAAACTTTCGGCCTTGTGTGAACTTTGCAATGGTCGTAAGGCAGTAATGAAGAGACCTAAAAATCTTCAAAAATTATGTAAAGAATGCTTTTACAATGTTTTTGAAACTGAAATACATAATACTATAGCTAATGCTAATTTATTCCAACCCGGAGATAAGGTTGCGATAGGGGCCTCTGGAGGGAAGGACTCTACGGTGCTTGCATCTGTTTTAAAGACATTGAATGAGAGATACGACTACAAATTAGAGCTCGTTCTTTTGTCTATTGATGAGGGTATTAAAGGCTACAGAGATGACTCTTTGGCTACAGTTAAGAGGAATCAGGCTCAATATGGTATGCCATTGGAAATTATATCTTATAAAGATTTATATAATTGGTCTATGGATGAAATCGTTTCGTGTGCCGGTATTAGGTCCTCATGTACATACTGTGGTGTTTTGCGAAGACAGGCCTTGGATAGGGGTGCAGCAAAGTTGGGAATAAGTCATGTTGTTACAGGTCATAATGCAGACGATATGGCAGAGACAGTTTTGATGAACTTATTGCGTGGTGATACAGCAAGATTAGAGAAATCATGTACCATATTAACACAGTCTACAGGGTCTCCCATTAAGAGATCCAAACCGTTTAAATATTCATATCAAAAGGAAATTGTTTTATACGCTCATTATAAGAAATTAGATTATTTCTCAACTGAATGCTCTTATGCACCAGAAGCTTTTAGAGGTACAGCAAGAGAGTTGTTAAAATCGTTAGAAGCTATAAGGCCTTCTTGTATTATGGATATTATTTATAGTGGAGAGCACTTGGCATTAGCTCCTAAAAAGAAGAAGGTGACTCAGCAATATAAAAACAAGAAAAAGACTCAAGTTGATAATGAGCAGGAGATCAATGCTGATGGGTCAATTACTATTGGCACAAGGGAATTCAAGGACGGTAATAGGTGTGAGAATTGTGGGTACTTAACATCAAATAAAATTTGCAAAGCTTGCGTATTATTGGCAGGACTAGAAATGAATAGGGCTAAGGTTAGTGTTGATAATAACGCTGCAGTGGATGGTGCTGCAAAGCTAACAAAGACCTTGGAACAGTTGAGTTTCTGAAATTAGAGTATATAGAATATTTAGTACTAATACATTTTGCATTCATATTTATTATTCAAGAGGGCCTTTATAAATGTTTGCCGATCCTGCTTGGTAAGTCGGGAAAACCAAGGTCTCAGCAATAACGGTTTTTTGCTTCCTAGTAATACCGAAGACAATTACCTCTGCGATATCCTCAGCTAGAAGGGGTTCAACCCCTTCATATACTTCATTAGCTTTAGCCTGGTCGCCATAAAATCTAACCAAAGAGAACTCAGTATTAACAGCACCGGGATCAACTTCAAGAACTCTAATCTTGGTGTTAATCAATTCCTTTCTTAATACTTGAGAAAAATACTTGACACTAGCCTTGGTTGCACAATAGACACCACCTCCTGGGTAGGTTTCTCTCCCAGCGACTGAACCAATATTCACAATGTCTCCACTATTCTTTTCCTTGAAACGAGGAATGACGGCTTGAGTCAATCCAATTAACCCTAAGACGTTTGTTTGAAACATCCCTTGAATGTCTTCGTCTTTGATCTCACCAATTTCATCCTTCCCCAATGCTTTACCCGCATTATTGATTAAAACATCGATATCAGAAAACTCTCCTGGTAAACCACTGAGGAATGGTTTAATTGAATTGACAACTGAAACATCTAGTTTAGCCAAATGAATTTTAAGCGATGGAAAATCATTCATTAACAGACTGGATAATTTCTTTAATCTGTCCTCCCTTCTGGCAGTAAGGATAAGCTTAATGTTTCCATTTGCAGCGGAAGCAAGTTCTTTGGCAGTTGCAGAGCCAATACCTGAAGAAGCACCTGTAATTAAAATAACTTTGTTAGCTAAACGTGCAGCAGCCTTGGCTCCAAATGACATATTGTAGTTAGAATTGACTAGAATAAATAATATATAAATACTGGGGTTAGATTTTAGTTTTTCGCACTTAAACACCCCATAATTGTCCATGACATTAACGAATTACCACTACTACTCTAGTACAATTCATACGCTATACTTAAACTGTCTTGTATTCTCTACTAAAATACTAAATCTGAAGTTATTTATCGCTTTCATGGTATAAATGAGAGGAGCGGGCTTGATTGGTTGAAAAGACTAATGTCTCAGCAATAACGGTATATAAATACTGGAGCTAGATAACTTAAGTTAGAAAATTACATCCAGAAAACGAATAGGTTATTTGTATGTGAGTTCTACTTCTGAATCATAATTTTTACTTTGCTCATAATGAGTGTTGTGGTGTGTCCGTGTGTACATAACTACACCCCAACTCGTTAGTACCAGATTCAGCTTTAATGACATTACCTGACAGTCCGCTGAATCATGTATGGTGTACCACCACCCATCACATTTTCCTGATAATGACAAAAGTGTCATCACCATCCCTAATTTGATAACTCCAAGCTTCTTTAAATTCATTCTCCAATCTTATTAACAACTCGTCAGTCAAAATTCCTTCTTTATTCGCTAAAATTATATAATCTATAGTATGTCTAACCACTATTAGACCTACTAAATTGCCAATCTTAAACTTACCAACCATGAAAATAATATAAACATATATAGTAAATTATATATTATAATACTGTTTAAAAATAGTGTATAATTAGCCCCTGAATTTGACCTTCTTATATAGTACAATATAAGAATTACTCAATTAAGTCATTAGCATTAGTATTAATATTCTCAGTTTAATTACTTAAACTAGCAATATTTATAACCCACTTATTAACCCACTTGGCTTAAACTAGAAATATTAATGGGGGCTTTTCATTTGTTAACTTGAAATATTTAAATATACTTTTGCAACCAGATTACATGTTCTTAATTACTTGCTCATTAAAAATATTGCCATATGAATTTCATGCTCACTAAAATATTTCAATATCTCCCTGCAATCCTAATATTCTTCACGCTAATGAACGTAGATTCGGGAACTTCACTTTGTTCAACCCTTTGGTTAAAATAGCTGCAACTTAACTATTGGTATCAATTTCACATAATTTAATTTCATCTGAATAATATGCTCTTGGACAGAATACTTCAGCTATTATTGTTTTAAGTAATTAGGTATTGTTCAGACCTATTTAGGTAATCCTAATATTCTCCTTATACGTAACTGGATAATTATAAAGTCTATATAAGGGATAAGCAATAATAATGATTTATTTCAACTAAACTGATTGGAACTTGTCCTAAGTTAATTACATTGACATTGACTGAATGAAAGTAATTGAAATTATCATTAATTTAATTGATTATATGTAGCTGAAATCTAAACTTTAACAAATGATGGTCAACTGCTATAAATAAAGTAATAATGGTGTAAATTACTTAAAATAAGTTATGAGCCCTTGATTAATGAATTACCCTAGTTCAATTTACTTAAACTGTCTTGTATTCTCTACTCAAATACTAAATCTAAAGTTATTTATCGCTTTCACGGTATAGGTGAGAGGAGCTGGCTTGATTGGTTGAAAAGACTAATGTCTCAGCAATAACGGTATTTTGCTTTCTTGTAAGTCCGAATACGACAACCTCAGCTACGTCTTCGGATAATAATGGTTCAGTACCCGCGTAAACCAGCTTTGCCTTTTCCATATCGCCCTTGAATCTGACATTTGAAAATTCAGTTTCAACATTACCAGGGTCAACCTCAAGAACTCTAATCTTGGTGTTAATCAATTCCTTTCTTAAAACCTGCGAAAACGACTTGACACTTGCCTTAGTTGGACAGTAAATTCCACCTCCAGGGTAAGAGTCTCTTCCAGCAATTGAACCTATATTAACAACATCTCCGCTGTTCTTCTTTTTCATGATTGGCAAAATAGCCTGTGTGATGGTAATTAAGCCTAAAACATTAGTTTGAAACATCGATAACATATCATCTGTGTCAATGGTTCCAATTTCATCACGACCCAAAGCCAAGCCTGCATTGTTGACTAATACATCCACGTCAGAGAATTCTTTCGGTAAATCATTGATAAATGGCTTGATAGTCTCGAGCTTAGATACATCTAGTTGAGCAACATGAACCTTGATGGATGAATATTTGTCAGTCAATTCTTTAGATAAATTATCCAATTTCTCTTTTCGTCTAGCACACAACACTAATTTTAAATTACCATTAGCAGCTGATGCAATTTCTTTGGCAGTCGCTTCGCCAATTCCAGATGAAGCACCGGTGATTAAGACAATCTTATTGGCAACACGTTCAGCAGCTTTAGATCCATACGACATAATAAGAAACAATTGATAATTACTAGGTTATAAGCAATTCAAATTAAAGGGGCGAGAAAGAGTTGATGTAATCTATTTTGTCCTACCAAATTTCAGAGGTGAGCCTTTATCATACAAACGAGATCCATGAAAACGGAGTAAATATTTAATATAAATCACATATATTTTTTATATAAGTAGAGTTAAAATTATATCCAAATTTCAATAATTACAACCAATTTAAAATTACAACCAGCAAGTAAAAATAATAAACAACATTACAATTAGCTTAGTAGAAAGTAGATGGAACTTGAGCTTGGTATAACTTCTTTGATTTTTGGATTCTGTGAGGTAATGGGAATTTTAAGTCTTTGGTTAAGTATTGCTTAACGTATTGTCTCTTAACATCTTCAGTCTTTTCTAATTCAACAACCTTTAAGATGTGAATGTTTCTAAATCTAGCTCTGTGTCTAGCAGCTAAATCTTGGTACATGGTTTCAACAGCACCAACTCTGGTAACGTCACGGTATTCTTTGTACATGTTGTGAATACCGGATCTAGATTCGTATCTGATCCAGACACCGAAAGTCTTAACCTTGGTTGGGTGGCTTTCAGCGATGGTGTTAACGGAAACGATTTCACCAAGGGTCTTCTTGACCTTGTGTAATTTTTGTAAGAAATACCAGTAACGAGATTTAGCAACAACAGTGTTTGGAGCAAAAATTCTCATACGGTACAACTTTGGTTCTGGAGCTGAATCAGTTGGGAGACGACGACCGATAACTTGATATTCGTTTAATCTAGACATTCTAAATGGGTTAGTATAACTTGTTCAGTACAATGAAAATAATTCTCATCAAATTTTTCACGCATCGAAATGTATGTACAAAAATTTTATCCCTCGACGTAAAGCTTCCAACTTCGATTTAGACATTCATTACATGTTCCCTAGTCTTTATTCCCTTGTTAGAAGACATTTTCCGTTCTTCGTACTAATTATGGCTCGGTGAGTTTAACAAATTATCTCTCTGAAAACTGGCTTCAGAAGAATGATATACTACAGTTTGAATGTAAGGATGTTACATCCTGCCCTCATCTTCTTGTATAAGTACTTAATTCTTCTTCACACTGTGTCTCCATTGATTTTTCATGTCTTGATGTCATTTCCTAATATTACTTCTCACTCTTAATCCTCATCCTAATTGCTTTGTTCGTTCTACCTGGGAGTATATAATCGAGTACATTCATCTCATGCTATAATTTTGAAGTCACATACCTTACTGTTGATATTCCAAATGTATATGGCACCTATACAAGCAAATAGACTTTTTTCACTATAACATTTTTTTTATTGTAGCGAGAGCCATCGTTGAGAAATTCAGTTTTTGCTGGAAAATTACACAAACTCGAATTTGACAATCTGCCCGACAAAGACAGTCCGATCCTTCCTCTCACATCACATGATGGTTCTTTGACAAGGGTATAGACCCTAATAGCAAAATTTTGGTTCCATACCAAAAATGGTTCCATACCAAAAGGGTGATCTATGGTTAGAATGTAGCCTATTTCCTTTCTAACTGTGTCAACATTCTGGATACGTATATTTAGCACTAAATTTTGTAATTACCTCCTTTTCAAGACTACAAATATGCCTAGTTAAATTGATATACTAGTATTCAAATACGTAATTTTATATAATAATGTTGTATGTCTATTTATGGATTATTGTGATTTCTTAGCTTGAATTTCAGCTCTCCTTCTCATGCGCTTTTCTCTGTTAGCTTTCGCAACCTCACCACTTTCTGTGCTCATGAAATAATCGATCCAACGAAACGAGCTCGCATAGTTGCCAATAAAATAATGATGGTGGTCATCGTGGTGATCGGCACCTGCCCAGAACGGTAATACGTTGTGTAATGACCATGGAAAGTCGTAACCAGAGTGGGAATCCACCGCTTGGAAAAGTCTCAAGGTTATCCAGAACGAAAGAGTGAATAAATGCAAGGAAGGAAGGGCAAGCGAGGGTTTGCATTTGGCTATGTAGGCATAAATGATTGGAAATCCCACGGTTCCAAATCCAAGAGACATTACCTCTACCGGATGGGCATATTCTGCAGTCAAGCCAAATGGTGCGGCATATCTATGATGTTGCTTATGGATATATTTATATAGCCAGCCATAATGAAATAGTCTGTGAGCCCAATAATGCCAGAAGTCTTCACACACAAAGAATAAGCAAATTTGTAAGAACATTACTAAGTATGAAGGAAAAGGCACGTCGATTGAGATGTTCAAAGTAGCACACAATGGATGAAACAACCAGATAGGTAAAGCTTCCACGAATAGGTGCAGTTTCAACACCGACTTAAAGCATTCCCACTGTTCTTTGCCTGAAGGTATTTTTTCATCCTGGATCTTCCACTTATTAAAAAAACTGATCCTATCAATTATCAACCAAGGTAAACACCGTCCGAAATACATAAGTTCATGGGTAGCAAAAAATAATATACCAGTAGCCAAGATATCATTATTCATGTATATATACCAAGAGGCCCACAATTTTTCAAGTATGTTGAGCCGGGATACCAATGTATCGCCTTGCGAAAGACTTTGTAAGCTGTGAAATACATCGGTATATGATTCTGCAGATGTATTAGATGCCAAGTGACTAGTTGCCAAGATTGGCAGCAAAGCTGACGTCCGTTTGAATAAATCCATATTCCAATATATACTACAAACTAAAGAAACTTCGACTGAACAAATTCATGTTATTTATATACCAGGATCGTTTATACGATCGCTTGATAAAATGTTTTGGCAGCCTAAACGATTTGTCAGTGGCATGATTTTTTTATACAAGCGCGATATACGAATCATCACCTTCCCATTATTTTAGTCTAGCTCATACGATATACGATATACGATGAATGATATATTAATGAAGTATTTAAAATTATTTTCTATTAAATGTTAACTATAAGGAACGTTTAGTAATTTAAAGCACTCTTTCTTTTGGTAAAATATCGACCAATAAGCTATCATCAACGTTACCTAAGTTTAAGCCATTAGTAGCTCTGTATTGTTCAATATTTTCGAAGAATTTGTCGAACAAGAATGCAGTATCTAATGGACCACCCTTGGCTTCAGGATGGAATTGGGTTGAGAAAATAGGTTTTGTCTTATGTCTCATACCTTCATTGGATAAATCATTTAAGTTCGTGAAATATGGTTCCCAGTCAGAGCTTAAAGTTTCAGCATCAACAGAGTAACCGTGATTTTGGGAAGTAATATGACATTTACCAGTAGTTAAGTCCAATGCAGGAATATTGTGGGCTCTGTTACCATATTTCATCTTGATGGTCCTAGCACCACTTGCTAAGGCTAATAATTGATGGCCTAAACAGATACCAAAGATAGGCAAATCATGGTACTTTTCCATAGTCTTTGCTAAAGTTTCAGTAGTACTTGAACAATGGGTTGGGTCACCTGGACCATTGGAAATAAAAATACCATCAAACTTGTTAGCAATTTTATCGATTGGGTAGTTATAAGGAAAGACGGTTAATGATGCTCCTCTTTCGACTAAACAACGTAAAATATTTTCTTTAGCACCACAATCTAAAACTGCAACATGAAGACCCTTGGCATACTTTTCTGGACAGCTGATATGGAAAGGAGCTTTAGTAGTCACCTTATGCACCAAGTTGACAGACCCAGGATCTTCAAATGCTGCATCCTCATCTGCATCATATTCCTCACCAATAGTAATCTTAGCCAAAGAAGAACCCTTGTCTCTAAGGTAAGAAACAAGTTGTCTGGTATCGACACCAGAAATGGCAGCTACACCAGATCTTTGACACCATTGTTGTAAGGATTCGACAGCAGTCCAATGAGAATATTCTAAAGCAACATCAGCAACAACTATACCAATACATTGAACACTTGGCGATTCCACGTGCTTCAATAAGTTGAATTCATCTTTAAGAGTAGATGATGGAACCCCATAATTACCAATTAATGGCTGGGTAAAACACAAAATTTGACCCTTGTAAGATGGATCTGTCATTGATTCGGGGTATCCAACTAATGAAGTTGTAAAAACTGCTTCACCACTTATATTCTTGTTAGCACCAAATGAATAACCACTGAAAACTGGACCATCTTTAATTGTTAATGTAGCCCTGTCTAGTTGTGACGTTTTGTTGGTGAATGTACCACCAGTAGCTAAATAACGACGGAATAATTGTTTAGATGCAATCAACGGAGGTTGGATTACTCTAATCATCTTCGATTTACTGTATATTAATTATGAGTTTCTAAAGTATAAAATTATAGAAGTGAAAAAAATTTATCTTTTTGGACTCGATGATTGATAGCGAATCGCGGTTAATTTTAAAAAAATCTGGATTGCCTTATTTGGAAGTGAGTCACCACCAATCACCGCGGTCGTTCAGCCAACAAGAATTGGAACATCGGTCTTCACTATATTATCTGCAAATTCATCCTGATCACCACCACTTCCTTTATATTTGACAAGAACTTGTAAGCAATATATTCTTCCGACCAAACAGCTCTGAAAGCTGGGTATTAAATTTATATTGTTCTTATTAATAGTAGTTAATGGCACCGTAAGCTTTCTTTCCCATTTGATTTTCTTATTTGGCAATTGCTTAGCTTTCCAATCTTGTTCATTATTCAATAACTCTGGATTGGTTGAATTTGTAAGTGTCTTGAAGTACTCTTTGACGGTGTCTTTCTTAATTCCTAAAGTCTTCATTGACTTTAAATATAAATAAGATGTCTTAGAAATGTAAATTTTGTTAGCCTGTAAGAATTGAATATAATTATAAACTTGATCTTTTAAAGATTGCAAATTATTCCTGGTAATTTCAACATCATCTAGTAGTTTACTTTTACTTTCATCGGGATTTGTATAAAAGAAATCGTACTCAAGTTTCACAGGTAAAGGAAATTCAGTATTGTATGTCCAAAACACAAGGTTAATTTCTATACTATTTATCTGCGGAGGTTTCGTAGCATTATCAAAAGGTACGAACGACAATAATATGTCAACTGAGTTAAGCACATCCGATGCACTTCTGTTGTAGAGATCGCTAATACTAGTTGTAGACGTTGCGGATATTCTTGGGGCTAGATCATTTGATTTGGTTGGAGCCAACTTAATTTTGTCAGATATAGACGATACTGAAGCTACCGAACGTAATGCCGCTCCAGATATAAAATCATCAGAATTGTCATTGTTATATTTCATTAATAATTTTGGTGAAGCGTAAGGAACAACCTTATGAGGTACTCTTACATACAACCTCAGTTCTCCAATTCTAACTAATGATGACAAAATCTTTTTTTTCTTTTTCCCATATATAGTAATTGGAATTTTTGATCCAATCATCATTTCATCTCGAAATTGTTGTTCTTCATCAAATTCAGCTTGGGAACAATCATTCTGTAAGTAATGCTCTTTAATATTCAAATAATATAGGTTTGAGTTGGTAACTGTACGATCGATTGACAAGTTCTTCTTTTTCACGTCATCTTCTTTGAATTCTTCTCTCGCCAACTTTGAGTCTATTTCCTTTTCTATATTATAATTCAATTCGTAAATTTGTCTCCAGGTACTCAAATGAAGGTAACTTTCGAATAATTTTCCATCAATCCCTATTGCCCCAAATGTCTCAGTACCATATTGAAACCCTTCATTGTAATATTTAAATTTTTCCTTGAAATCTGGTACAAATCTCAAGAAATATTGACTGTGCTTTGAGATAACGTAGTCAGCCTGTGAATTTGGGTCGTTAATCTCATGCTGCGATAAGGGATCTTTTTGATTCTTAGCATTCAACTTGTCTATGAACTTGGCTTCAATTGTATAACTTACACTAATATTTTCAAAACTGTAATCTTTGGTTAACAAGGGAGTGCCTCTCACATTTAAAAATCCGTAACCTAACGCCTTATTAAGTACAATGGTACCACCCCTATTATAAAAACAGGTTTTATCTAATCCCATCGATGGAGGTGGTAATATATGAGGCAATACATCGTGAATGCAATTGTTATCCAAAAGCTTATGAGGAAATTTGAACGTAAAAAATTTTTTATACTTAGTATGGGGCCTCAAAACTCTTTCGTTTGGCAATCCAAGTTCACAGCCATCGTGAAGGTCTTTAGTGAAAGCTTCATATTCAATTCCTGCACTGTTGGGAATCTGCGTATATCCATAAGAAGCATTTAGATCATACATCTTCAAGAATTTTTTTATTAAAATTTTATCGTATTTGTGGATATCCGAAGGATTAGCATCGGGGTTTGAATGAGTTGTCTTTATAGTACCATCCAATGTTACTACAAATAAACCAAAATCAACCGGCTCATCTGACGTATTTGTAATTATAATATAGCCATTTACCAAATCACCACTAGAATACATTTTCAATCTAGTTTCTAAATCATTTGGTAGATTTGGTTGAGGTACTCTTTTGGTTACATAAACTTGTATATCTATTGGTGAATTGTTCAATTTTGGCAATTTGTCTATGTTATCTAATACTGTTTCACCGTACGTATCATTGGTTGCAACTGGTGTATTCTCTCCGTTTATTAAATGTTCGTTGGCTTGATTAGTATCATGTTCATCCCCACCAAAGAAATAGTTCTCTTCTTCATTATTATTGTTATTTAATGCATACTCATTAATCCTTTCAGTGACATTCTCCGTCATGGGATCTAGATTATTATCTCTATTAGATGAAATTGGCGATAACCCGCTTGGGGGAGTTGGTGATGAGTTAGTAACATCCCCATATATAGGAGGGTTCACTGATAAATTTTCACTGAATTGGGAATCGTCTCTTTTCAAGATTGATTGAAACATTTGAAACGATGGTAGGACATCAAAGTACTCAGTTTGGGTATTGGAGCTTGCTGGAGATAATAAGTTTGTTTCGTTGGAATTGCTAAGGATCTTGCTATATTTTTTCAAGTCATCGGATGATCTATAAGGAATATTTTTTTGTTGTTTTAGATTCTTTGATGGGCTTCCTCTTGAAATAACACTTGAATTAGGTCGCCGTATTGGTGATGATGAGCTATTTAATGAACCATTTGAAGTCGTAGAAGATATTGTAAAATCATAAGATGGGGGATCGTCAGATGGGGTACTTCCACTAGACGTTGTGGGAGAATTCTCATGACTTTTTGAACCTCCAGAAGGTTTGTGAAAATTTAAGTGCATTCCCACTTATACTATATTTACTTTATCTAATTATCCTTAAGAGTTTCTTCAAGTTTCTTTCAAGTTTCTTTCAAGACTGTTAAATTATATAAATAATGGTTTCGTGATGATGTTGATGCCGCGCACTATATCAAAACTTCTACAACTTTTATGGAAGATAAATATTTTATTACTATAAACACTAGATTATTGTTAGTATATCATATTAACAGTCTAGCTGGTTATAATAGAATACAAAGTTAAAAAATCAGACTGACATGCAAATCGAATTTTTTTTGGAGTTCTTCATTGATGTACTCGAGAAAATATAAAAATCATCATTTTAAATACAATGTATTCGCAGTGATATATAATACATACTTTTATGTTGGGGCCCACGAACGAATTTGAGCGAAGAAAGACTTAAACAAAAGCATTAAAAGTTATATCAGGAACCACGGCCGGTCAAGGCCTAAAATTATCATCAAAGTAAAGGAATTACAAGTCCCAATACGCAGTAGACCGTCGTGATAAATGTGGTGAAGTCATCATAAACTTTCAATATGCTATCGTTTAAATCTTTCTCGCTCAAACACTTTAATGAACTAATAATCGACTGATTATAAAATCCGTTAAAACGAGAATGAGTAATTTTTATACAATTGATAAAGCATACAAATAATATCAGACACGAAAAAGTTTCTCTTCATTAAAGATTCAGACATATGCTTGTCTTTTTTTTCAAGCTCATCTTTTATTGGATTTGCTGTACTTTATCAAAAGCATTAACCAAATTACCCACCTGGATTAATTCGTAAATGTTCATTGATTCTATCATGTTAGTTATTGTTTCGACTTTCATTGTAAGTTAAAAGAATTTAGATATCAGATATGCATGAATGGTATTAAAAAAAGGTTGTCATCAACGGGAATCCCGAAATTCTGACTCGTCATCTAAGGAGATCATCTTTTATCTATTGTTATTCTTCAACGAAACGGTAGATACATACAATTACAAGCTCAAAACTATAATCAAGTTTTGCCAAATGAAGGGAGATATTGTCTATTGAAATTTGTTAGTATATATGTCCAACGATAGTGATACAGTAGAATACAATTAATCACATTTTTCAATAAAACAATAGGATCAGTAACAGTGGGTTTCTGAGGCCCACCATAAATGCGTTGTCACTCACAAAATATTCAGTGCCCAGTGCAATAATTCCTCATGTTAGCTTTAGTTTAATGGTATCGTATAGTGACGATCAAAACATACCTAAAATTATTGTTAGTAAAATATTCGAGGACATCAAAAAAATAATTTAAAATTGAATTATTGTATCAGCAAGGTGCAAAAACTTATCAATCATAGAGTTTCAGCCAGTAATTCCAGCTTTGTTTTTGTTAAATCATCATAATAAATCAATTTCAAATTAATTTCAAATTTGGAAACATACTTATTGTGTTTATTTCATTAGAATTAGGAAAAAAATGGAATAAAAAAGAATATAAGATGTCTATATCTGTTAGTATTAACACTTGAATTATGAAATTCATTATTACTCGGGCAAACAACTAATATCAGCAATACTTTTGTGATCATTCTTAATAGTCACATACTCTAGTTTGAAATTTATGTTTGGATCATCTTTTACGTTGTTATAACCCAATGAGTAAATTATGAGAAAGGTAGTTCTTTATTAAACATACACTAAACAAATTAATATTATTTAAAGAAAAGGAAGAAGAAGAGAGAACAGCATTGGGCGTTTTAAAGACAAAGGGTATAAAAATTTTCGGTTGAAATTGGCATTTTGTGTAATTTTGTTTCTCCGGGTAAAATCCAAAGGATTATAGGGTTCCAGATGGGCTTAACGTTATCATATGAAGCCTAACTTACTAGCGATATATGTACATTTTGAAGGTGATGTACTATTATAGAAATTATGTAAATATGATATATTGATATACATAAAATGTAGAATTATTATACAATTATATGACAGTAGACTTTTACTTCTTTTGTTGAGGTTGATTGTTCATTGCAAATGGTGGTGGAACGGGTGGCATAAACATTGGTGGCATTGGCATGTTTGGATTCATAGCCATAGGCATAGGAGGCATTGGCATACCTGGAGGCATTCCAAATGGCGGAACCATCGGAAGCATATTTGGTCTCAGAGGTAATCCAATGTTTTGTCTCTTTGCGTCTGGTTGATCATCATCGCCCTCGCTAGATCTCTTCATGGCATTATTTGCCGCAGTAGTGGGATCTTCAATACCTAATTGTTCCTCCTTTTCCTTGATATAATCCTGGAGACTCGATTCTAACTCTTCATTTCGTATAAGTGTATCTATGAAGACATCTTCAGAATTACAGTTTGGACAGTGGAAGTCGTTTTCAATCAATATTTGTTCCAAAGTAGGTTGGTGGTAATTAAAGTTTGTCATTTTCTTTAAGCTTTCTTTAGATTGACAGCATGCTGTCATAACTATTGGTGGTGCCAATAATTTTTTGTTCGGGCTTGCCAAAGGATCCAAGAACTCTGTCCTTTGGTCCTTCTCGATACATTCTAGGATCTTTAACTCAAATTCCTGTTTTGCCTTCATTGCAGCATTTTGTTGCTTTTGTTGGTAATTAAGCCAAGTCTTATTATCTGCCATTGCAATAACGTACTCACCAGTTTCAGTGATCATATATGTATTACCCTGTTGATCCACGAGGTCACCATTCTCATTCGTTGTAATTTGATTATCTGATCCATCATTATTATTTTCTGCCGCTGTAGCTGCCTCTTTGGAGATAGTCTTCAAATATGACTTTGGGATACCGGTAGTCCTTTTAATTTTTTTACCTTCAAAATTAGGATCAGTATTAGTAGGACAATTTCTAATCCAATGGTCCTTGCCACCACATCTATAACACATATATCCTGGTGGTGGTATGTCTTCTGGATTAGTACCGGTGGCGGATGGTTTATTGTATACCACCTTATGTGTAGAAAGTTCATCTTGCGTTTGCGCCCATGCGTTGGATTGATTTTCGAACATCAATTTGATACGGTCCTCTTCTGATATGCTTTCGTCCACTGGCCTACTCTCATTCTTATTTGCCGCTCCGTTGGCCACCATAGTCGCCGTCGTATTCACCATCTTCTTATTAATACGTGGTTTTCCACTAACATATCTTGAAGCATTATTGAATTTCCCATTCTTCGATAAACTGGGCGATCTTTTAGCTAAAACAAAGGATGATCTAGGTATAACATCTTGATCGTTTTCGTATTCCAAGTCTGGTTGTTCCAGGTGATACAATCTCAAATTAAAATCTGTACCTTGTCCAAGTTGATTCTGTAATATGATTTCATGCTTTAAATCAAACACACTTATACCCGTCCCATCAAAATGAATAGTGGATTGAGTTTTCTGGGATAAAAACTTATAAAATATAGTCGATGACATAGTGGGTTGACTTCAAACTATAAGTATTCTTTGTAGGTCTTCTTTTTCACCTAAATATAATCATAATTTAGAAAATAACACAAAATTGATCTCAATGAACCATCAAAAAAATTAAGCGCTCATTAACAAGCGTATCAATAACAAACATAGAAATCAAGTAATACACTATTAAGCATATAAAGGATGGATCTATCCTACGCCACAGTCAATATAATGGGTTACGAGAGGCATTTAGCAGCACAGACTGTTAAATTACCTCTTAAATACCCATCAACGCTGCAGAAATATACACCGAATGAACAATTTCATAGACAGTTAGCTAGCACGGGTGATATAATCAATTTGAGTAAAATAAACTCCTCATTCATTGATCAAATTTCATACCTGGTTTTAAATGATATGAAGACTATATCTTTTACGCCATTGAATTCGCAAGTAAATAACTTTCGCTTGAAATTTCAAAGCTTGCAAGTGGTATTACCGCATGAACTTAAATCAAATCACTGTATTAGTGTTTATTATGAAAAGCTGGAGGGTGAAGATGAAGGATGGATAATTGTGGATGTGATTGATGAGAATTATTTGTTTATAACATTGAAAATATCTTTAACTGACTTTATCGTAGAAGATTACCAGAAGGCCAAATGGACAAATAATTTCGATCAGAATAACCAGAAGGCCAAATTCTCATTAAATAATTTCGATCAATGGGGGAAAATATCCGTACCCTACTCATTCGAACTAAGATCGCCTCCATCGTTTATGAAAGCCATTGATTCTCTTAACATAATAGTTTCTTTGAAAGACGGTGGATTATTGCATTTACAGAGATCGGATCATTTGAAGGATTTTGCTGTTCATAATTTCAGTGATCCAACTTCATTATTACCATTGAATTTTGTGAGTGGCCTATTCAAGAGAGATAGTTCAAATCAAGATATTGTTCTAGATGGAGTCTCGTCTAATTCGCTTGTGGACTTGGTAACTGTAAGTAGTATACTTATAACATTGACTGTCGACAAAGTATTAAAATTCTGGAATCTAGAAAATCATCAACAAGCGCGTAGTCCAATAGATTTGAAAGATGATAAGTCGGGGTCAAGAGCTGATGCGGCCTGGTTAAGTTCTGTTTCTTCTAGTTACTTGCAAGTTGTTGAAAGTGAAGCGTCCGGTCATACATATTTAACTTGCCACTACACTACTACATCTAATAGTTTAAAACAAAATTACAATGAGATGGGCTTGCTTTTCAAGGCCTGGGAGGTTTTAGATCATAAGACTCAAATAGAATTGATTTCCTTAGATCGCTTGACCTTCAAACCGCAGTTGCCAGATTTGCTAATTTCCTCACAAGGCGATGAAGATACAAAGTATCATAATTCCTTATGGTTTGTTCAAGATTTTAGATGTGAAAGTCGTGGTGAATACTTGAACTATCATATTTTATGGAAATCAAATACATCCTCAATCCTTGTGACCTATAAAATTCATTTCAATAATGGTGCAGTATCATCAATAAATTGGTCACAACCAAACAGTTCGAACTCATTATCTGATTCTGCTTCTTATCATGATATTGAATATTACTCCAACAAAGTGTTGAATTCTGAGAGCTATGATGACTTGATTATTACAACTTCTTTAAATATCTTCAGAGAGCATATAGGTCTTGAAAACGTTAGATATAAGAGCTCCATTCGTGAGACTGTTATCGAGACAATTGATAAAGCTACAAATGATTATCAAGATCGCAAGTCCTGTTGGTATAAATTGGACTGCTTGTGTGAAGAACTTAAGAAAGTAGGTGAAGAATCATTAGCATTATGCATAACGAATAATTCAACTATATTGACCTTGAATATTAATAATATCAGTATATTTAGGCAATCGCATTACTATGAGGGTTTCTTTTATTATAAACCATCATCTAGTGAAGGCAAATTAGCAGCAATATTAGAACGTTTAACTGTTGCGATATCGCCAAAGACATATAATAAAATTTACCGTGGTGTTCTAAACCTTGAAGCTTCAAAAGTAACAGCTGACAATGCTACTATGTTGTATGATACTATTCTTAATAATAAGATTTCGACAGATGAAATCTCTCTGATTATGACTGAATTAGAAAGTATTCCTGACGTCCTCGATGTTATTTCATCGCTAATTGATTCACGTATTAAGCCAGATAATCATGATGAAACTATAAGGAAATTAAATTCACCAGCCACCATTGGTACTTTGACTAAGTTGAATACACTAGTAAGTTTCAGAAATATCAAACGTCACCATGAGTCAATTTTGTTAAGCTTGGTCGTTTTATTTTTAATTTGTGAAGTGAATGAACAAATCCTACTTTTGCTTAATAAATTAATTCAAAGATTATCCAGTTATGTTATTGTTGATTGTGTTTTCAATACTTGCTTTGAATCAGATAACCGACATGCTAAATTAGAATCGACAGACCTTAGCAATTCCGGGAACTCGTTATTTTGGACAGGATTAGCTAATAGAAACCCAAGGCTTAATTCTTTGATTACGGAAGGTAAATTGACTGAAAGTTACGATTACTTTTATGGTCATGTCATTTCATCATATGAGAAATTTATTCTTGATGTTATTATAGTGTTGATAAATCATGGTGAAGGCTTATTAATTAAAGAGAAATTCTTCTCTAAATTAGATCGATCAAAAATTATCGATAGATTTTTGATCGGGTTAGTTTATTTAATCAACAATGAGCCATTAGAGTTTTTCCTGATATTTGAAGAATACGACTTTTTTAGGTTTGATAATGATTCTATTAAAGAAGATTTAAAGAAAAAATTCCTATATTCGTTGTCCGGCAAACCACGTATAAAAACCCTAAATTCGTTGTCTATCAATCCACATATAAATTCTTTCCTTACCACGCTATTTTTAAATGAGTTTGATGACAATGAATTAGAAAAGGCAAACTATTTCCATGCATTATCGGAATTATCAAAATCACAAGGAAGAGATTTACGTCATCGTTCACATCACCGTCAAAAGTTTATAACCCCGGCTGCAAGTACTATTAATGCTGTTACAGCGGCTGATGGTTCATCTTCTACTATTGAAGTGGAGTTCATAAATAATGCGTTGAAATTTGAAAGAATTGCTGTTGAAAACTTGAAGAAAATTAATAACCCAGATGAAACAATTATAATGAATATTGACCAATTCTATCTAAACATATTTGAGATGGCACTCAGTTCATTAAATTATGATTTGGTATATGAGTGCTTATCATATTTGTCTTCAAAGGTTTCAAAGATTTTCGATTTTAAGGATCTACTTAGTAGATTCATAAACAACTTAATGTTGAATCAACGTATATCCATTATTTTTCCACCAAATTCAAATAAGTTATACTCTAAACATTATTTATTAATTGATTCGATACTATTGGAAACCGCCAACAATGAGTTAGCATTGGCTAATTCTCTTAAGTGTTATGAATATCTTTATACATGGAGGCTTTTCGGACCAACATTAGACTCTAGTCAATTAGCAGATAAAAGAGGTGCAGCTGAATCGTTATATATGTTTATTACGAGATTTAAGCATGAGCAGAAAAATTTACTCGCCAATTCTACAACAGTGGTCGAGGATATCAAGCAATATAAATTGAAGATTTTAGAATTATACATGATAATTCTAAATTGTTTGAAAAGCTTCGATGATGATGATGACAAATGGATTATTAAATCAAAAAGCGTTGACTCATTATCAGTTATCAAATTGGATGAAATAAATTTGGAGTACTACGAATGGTTAAGAGAATTAGAAGACGATTTGAACTAAAATAATGTACATATATGTATAGATAATTAAAATGATTTTATAATTTAACCTAAATTTGCTTTCATATTACCGCTACCCTTTGGATTATCATCCTTCCAGTCATCCCATTGTCGTTTTTCTAATTCTTCATCAGAACTATCACTATCACTGTCATTCTTCTCATCTTTGACTTCTTCTTTCATCATCTTACCGTTCGCCAATTCATAATCTAGATATTCCTCAACAGACATAGAAGGAAGAACTTGGCCTGTACCGAAAACTTTCAGTTTGAGATCTTGTTTATTAGACGTTATTGTAAAAGGTTGTAAAATTTTGCCTTGTTTCGAAATCAAATCAGAAATCTTGCTTTTATTCTGGAAGGGTAAGGATTCTAATTTTGAGGTATAACCATAATCGTTTTCCATTGAAGGTTCATCCTTAGATTTAGGGGGATCTATTTCTGTTATACGCTGTTTCGGTCTGTTGGATAAAACTTGAAATTCCATCGACAACAGCTCCAAGTTATTAAAGGCACTGATGCTGAACAATCTTAGTTGATCAATATAAATCGCCTTAACAATCTCCTCGTCAAATCTCTCAAATATGGAATCGTCTTGTTCCTCCCCTTTTTCGGAATTTTGGTTATAGTAGTCATCTAATATTTGCAATTTCCCTTTCAACTCTTTCTCTAGCTTGTAATTTTCAATCTTGTCTGCTCTTTTCAATGCCGGATTACTATAGATAACTAATTCGTCGTACGTAGGATTGTATAGCTCTTTGAACGAATTCACTCTGGAAGATTGAGACTTGGATAAAATTTCGCCATAGTTATCTAGCTGTACGATGAAATGAACGAGTTTGCTCTTAGCAATGGTAATATTCATTTCTTTAAACTCAATTGGATCTGATGCTTCTGGTGCTTGTCCAGACTTTGGGTTCCATAAATAATCTGAATATAACAATCCCAAGTAATAATCCAAGTTTATAAATTGTATGTAGCTGACGTTTATTTCGTTAAGGGACTCATTGTCGCTGAACAAATCTAACCTATCAACAATCAATTGAATCAAAGTGAACTCTTTAATCAAGTCACCAACATTCGTCTGGTGCTTCAATGAGTCTTTGCGACCACCAAATCCAGGACTACCATTAAAAATACTTTGGAATTTTCCAATAGCATTTCTATAACGCTCAGAAACTGTTCTGTCGTTCTTATACTCCTTATTGTCCATTATAATTGAGTTAGGTTTAGTTTAATTCTAGTTGGAATATTTTCAATTTTAATATAGGCAAATTTTATATACACGCACATTGAAGGGTCACTTTTCAAATATCAAGTATCGATTATTAACTACAGTATAAGTGATAATTAATATAAATAAAAGCAAATAATGAGTGCTCCAGCATATTATGAGCTCTATAGAAGGTCGACTATAGGAACAACTTTAACTGATGCATTAGATACATTAATTTCTGATGAAAAGATACAGCCACAGCTAGCTATGAGAATTTTAAATAACTTCGATCGAATTATATCTGACTTGTTGAAAAATGAGCTGGGCATTTCCAAATCTAAGTTAACATTTAAAGGAGATTTGCATACATATAGATTCTGTGATGATGTGTGGACTTTCATAATCAAAAATGTTCTAATCAAATTGACTGATGTTTCAAATTCAGGTAATAATGACTTAAATGATAACGAAATAAACGTGGATAAATTTAAAATAGTTGCTTGTAACTCCAAGAAAGCTGGTGATATGTAGGAAGTATTTCCAACTGTTTTGTCTTGCGTTAAATAGATATTTACTTCATCGAGTTACTTATTCTTAAATATAAAATAATAAATGTATAATGTGTTTCGATCTATTTAATCTAGTTACGGCCATCCGAGAAGGATATGACGGCCCATTTACCGGAGGAGCTCCAAAATTCTCCCTTTTCATTACCCATGGACTTATATATTTCAATTAATTCTTCATTCAAGCCCTTTGGTAAGCCAACCACTACGTCGGCTTTACAAGTACGTAAACTCAAAATTGGTAACTTTGACGATGCCAATTGTTGAATGGATGTCGTGAAAGGAGTTGTTGGGTCCCATTGCACATCACCTGTCAATTTACGGTAATTCAAATCACCCTTCAAAATAATTAAATTTGAGGTCAATAAATCCTTATATAAATCATCAAACTTTGGGATGGTCCAATATTTGTCATCTAAAGTCCAGAATGGATGGTCTTTGATAACTATCTTGTCAGACTTATGGTAATTTGTTATTCTCTCTTGTACAGCTGAAATAGCCCGCAAATTCTCTTCGCTATCAGAGATACTACTATAAAATTTAGGATCAATCAATTGCTCCAATAATATAGAAAAATCCTTTGGCATTACGTCACTAACAAACCAAGGAATTTGCTTACAATGTAAATGAATTTCACTTACCAACCCAGAATCCAAGGCAAATAAACTAAAAATCAAGTCAGCAAACAACTCAAACCCTGAATTGTCTAATACAATATCAAGTCTCTTCTCCTTGGATTCACTCTTCAATAAGTGTTCCCAAGCTTTTGATAAATCATTGACCAAAATATTCTCTTCATTTTTCTTTCTGTTTGCTTCACCTTGAACTGATTGAATATCCTCGAGGGTAACATTACCTGCTAATAATGACAAATCAGTAGCGTTACCCCATAATGAAATGTCTATAAATTCTGAAAAGAGGAGTTTCAACGTTTCTTTATCCAAGGATTTGGACAATTGAGTTGTGAGTACGTCATATCTTTTGCATAATTCTAATACGCCGAGCTCAGATTGTTGAAAAGTTTGGTTCTTCAAGTTTTCAAAAATATCAAAATCGTGCCAATAAGATTCTTCAGAAGAAATGAAGTATTGGTTAATAGCTTGGTATAAATAGCATTCTAAGTTCAACCACGGGCCGGTCAACCAGGTGACCTTCTTAGTCTTGTTAAGTTCAACCAATGATTCGTTATAACGAGCTAAGGAAGGATTCAATTTAATTGCAGCATCATCAAATGGTCTTACTTCTTCATCGTTCTTGAACGAAACTAAAAGATTTTGTAACTTATTGATGATATCGGACCCAGATTTTTCCAATTTGGGGTCAGATTCAAGCTCATTTTTCATGTCCTTAATACATCCTTCGATGATTGTAGGCCATCTTTTATGCACTGTAGGATAAGCAAAAGAGTTCGGATCGTCGTTGTAGTATGGAAGAGGTAATTGAGTCATTAGGGGCACTAGTTTGTTTAAGGTGGACAAGAAAAGATGAATCAACTCTAATTCGAACTAATATCTGGGAGTAAAAATCACCGGATGCTTATATACAGACGTCCGAAAATACCAAATCTAGAGACCACATTACTATGGATGTTTATGTATATATTTTGTTGGGAGATCATTCGTTGCAGTTGGTCTGAAGAGAAGATCGAAGTATCGATGTGAAGGGTCAATTGTGTATAATGTGTCCAATTGTTCTTGTGAGAGATGGCTGCAATCGATTACTTGTTCCATGCCAGGTGATGGCTTCAAACTTATTAAATATAGGAATCAGCTTCTTTATTGTTAAGACGAGCTCAATACTCCGCCACTGTGATGCTGATGCTGTCCGAATAGTTGTCAGACTGTTTTCGATTGGATCAATTGGTTCTGTTCTAGGCATAATACTGTAATCATTTCCTAGTTGTTCTCCAGAAATCGTATCGAACAATATTTCAACCTATGTCGACATGTGTCTGCCTGCGCCTACCTATGTCTATATTACCGACATCCACTCTATCTGACAGTATACTAAATTTCACCGAAGTCTACAAACATCAAGTCGATCATATGCAACTTCTACCGAAATATCAGATTTTCGCAATTATCGTGCTTCTTATCTACCTTATCCCTTCAATCACATTCGTCCTCTCCGTAACCTTATCATCTACATCCACGGCGCAGTGCCATACGTTATCATCATATCATCTTTTGTTCTTTTGCGGAGACCACCCTTCGCCGTCCCACCGAACTCTACGCATAATCTAATTTTAGGGTTGTTCCGATCTGGAACCGCCACCCATGGCCGCATCCCCTCCAAATCCTACAATCTTCCCCATCGTCTACGCGTATGTCTATCCATAGCCGTATATTCATCATAACGTTGCAATAGCTGTCTACTGTCTACTTATCCCCGTCGCATATAAACCTAATTTTTAATTGTTATTTCTCTTGCCATTATATCTCTCGTCATTCTTATCATTTCTCGTTACTTTTTCCAAGCCCCTCGACCACCTCCCTGGCTTCACTGGCCTCATTTAGAATCACTTCATTATTCTTCCGCGCCACCTGAATGTCCTCGTATATCTTCAATGTCGACTGGTGGATCGTCTCCACTACCGACCGGGTCTTCTGTAAGTTAGCAATTTGTGTTTGCTGTGCGTGTTAGTAGTAGCCTCGAATGACCCCCAATCCCTGGCGAAATGTACATACATAGTCCATGGTCAGAATCAATGCTGTTGTCCGAGATAATTCCGTGAACGGATAACCCAAATAGTCCTAGTTATCTGATTAAACTGCTTTTTCGCTCACTGCGGCGCAGGTCTATTATATAAGCGCACTCTGTTCCTATAGCCTAATGATGAGCATGAGAGTAGAATTCGATCGAATATTGACGCTGCGAAAAAACCCTTTTAACGACTCGGAGCCTCTCCTCCCCAATGTGCGCGCGCATTGTCTCCAATGTCACTCCGTAGCACATTCATCCAGATCGTACCCTATAATACATTATGGCATCTCTAAAGGCCGATTAGGCTTTATAGTTTCGTCGTAACCAAAATAAAACCTAATTTACTTACGACTTGCAGTTCATGACTCATGCTACGTTCCTGATTCAGCGTTTGAACTGCATTATTCCGGGGCATTGGAGTTGTTAGACTGATAGGCATTGTATGACTTTGTTAAGTTTGTTTCGTTTCACTCGTTCCCTAGCAAATTAATTTGTCAGCAGCATACCTACCGAGCTAGCGGAACAACCGACTTTATGCCGCGAGGGCCAATTAAATTGCAGATACGGGGGGAGTCTATAAAAGGAAACTCCCGGCTTTGCACGTTCGCATGCACAATTGCACAGCGAACATAAAAGAAACTACATGGCGCACTAGCAATTTGATATATAATAAGCCCAACCGCTAGGGTAAATGATTAGGAATATTTTATGGATTTTTGAAACATCGTTACCATCCAGTTTTTAAGGTCTATACATACATACATAGTACGATATTCAGTCTACGAGACAAGAACAGGTACAGGAAGCCCCAGAATTAGTAGTGGAAGCGTTTAATATTAGATTATAGTGAGATATTGATTAGTGAGCATAAATAGTGCTTCTTAATAGTAAGAAAAGTGAGAAAATTTATCTCCATTAAATCCGAGAAGCAATTGCTAGAATAGGGATTACTAGCAGATTAGGTGTTGAGGAATAAACACCAATACAGAGCGACAAATAGCAAAAGAGCTACAAATAACAGAAGCTTCAGATAACAATATTAGACATAGTATAAATATGGCGGACGTGAAGAGGAATATTTCTGAGGTATCTTCAGGATCATCGAATTTGAGTCATGATGACAAAAAGTTGCACACGAAGCCAGGACGCAAGCCTATAGAGATCGAGCCCAAGTCAAAAAGAACGGCGCAGAATCGGGCAGCACAGAGGGCTTACAGGGAGAGAAAGGAGCGTAAAATGAAGGACTTGGAAGACAAGGTAAAATTGTTGGAGGACGAGACAATCAAGGCCAATACCGAGCTGGATTTCTTGAAGGCTCAGGTTGACATGTTAAAGAACGAGTTAGCGAGATACAGAGGAAATACAGACTTTCTGGACTTGAAGTTGCCCACGAGAGTGGGACACTTGTCAAACCCTAATACGGGAGGCACATATAGGCCGACAATGGGGGAGAAGCACCATTCTTCCCAGTCGGATTCAACCAGTAATAAGTCGTCGGTGGGAGAAGGTAAGTTCCAGTCGCCCAACGAGTCGCTGAACAACACATCGCCTGACTCAGTGAACCAGTTTTCCGCCAGTTTTCCATGGTCCAAGGACAATTTGGCCGATTCCAATTCCTCCAATGATGGATACCAGACCGGTCAGAAGCAATATGTGCCAGACTTGATCAGCGGGTCGTCGTCTTCAACGTCGCCACTCAATGATAATATTTTGGTTTCTCCAGAATCACAGAACTCGGCACCTAACACCGTTAATTCTAACCAATTTGATAACCAGAATGATCAGAATTACGGGTTTACCCATCAGAGTTTTGAAGAGCAGGTTGATCCCTTTTGTGTTAAGTTAAACGAAGCTTGTGGTACCAAGGAATGCCCTATACCCAAGGACAAGGAAGATCAATATCAATATAACTCGCCATTTAGCAATTTAAGGAATCCAGAAAAAGAAAACTATACGACTTCAACTAACGATAATACAAACTTTGACCCTTTCTTTAATGGTGATTCTAAATTCAATTTTGAATTATCTGGCAACAATGAAGACCCATTGTCATTTTTAAACGATAATAACTTTGATGTTTCATTAGCCTTCGCCGATAGTTATGCGGAACCTAAGAGGAGTAACGAGGTTGATCCAATGTCGTTGTTAACAACAGAGGAAAGTGTTTACGATCCATTGAGCGATAAGGGATTCAATTTCAATGATTTTGTCAGAACAAGCGTTTCTGATGGACACGAAGGCAAGTCCGTCAAGAAGACTAGTACAGATTCCGCTCTTCAAAAGACCGATGAAGAAGAGGAAGTTGTCCCAGCACCAGAAGATACCGTTAAATGTTCTGAAATATGGGATCGTATTACCTCCCATCCGAAATACACAGAACTTGACATTGACGGATTGTGTAATGAGTTGAAGAGCAAGGCTAAATGTTCTGAGACCGGTGTGGTGATAAACTCTTCCGACGTTAACCATTTGTTGGAGCAATCTGCCTTATTTAAGACGTAAGTAAAAAAAAAATACCCTTCAAAAATGATTTCTTGTGATGATGAATGAAAGCAATTTTAAGTAAGCTTGCACCTTACTACCTGTTACATAATGCGATTAGAATTTCGCTTCAATAATATATGAATAGTAATGGAACTTCGAGTAGAAAGCGCAACTCTCCTATTTCTCAAGATTGTTATGTATCGAATTATGTATAATTAAGATATTTTTGTCATTTTTTCCTCCGGTTGTCTCTGAAGTGTACCTAAGGGCTATTCAAACACTTTTAATTACACTGGCTCTGTTACTATGCTAACATATTGCAACCAATTTGATCTCCTTTATTGAGGCTGGTAGTGCAACCCATTGACAGGATCCGAATTTGATTTGCCCTCTCATCTCGATAATATTTTAATGTTGAATTATTATAATGAAATATTGTAACTAACCTTTCCTTGAAACAGATGACTATACGAACAACATTACTTAGAGACATAGTAGCAGAATCCGTATCAATCAATACCTCTAGTAGGTACTGCTACATTGTAACGTTGTCACGTGATCATATTTCTTGAACCAATCAAACTAAATTTGTTCACTCAGTATAATCAAAAAACTATAGAAAAGCTAGAAGAAGTGTTTAAGATTAGAATCAAAGTATAACCAATATGTCGACTTCGATTGTTCGTACTATTAAAAACATATACTCCTCAGGACTTAAGAGGGCCGCTTGGCAAATCCATAATCTCAACGATACCAAGAGAGGTTGGTTAGTTGGTCAAGATGACTTTGGTAACAAATATTATGAAACCGATGTCCCAGAAGAAATACATTTAAGAACTAGATGGGTTGAATATGCAGACTGGGGTATGGCCGTTGACATGTCGAAGGTTGAACCAGGATGGCATTATTGGTTGGGTTATGGTACCAACACTCCTCCAAACAAGTTACCAGCTGATCAAAAGGTCGTTAGAGCTTACCCATTACCAGAACAGCGTGCAAGGAACTTCACCGGTACTTCAGGTGCGTTTGTCACCTACAATACTTCTAAGCCAAAACATACTGCCTGGACTCCAGAAGTTAAAGAACGTGTCGAAGTGTAATTTTACCATTTGCATATTTATTGTTATGTCGGGTTCGGATTTTTATACGGCAGAAATGGCTGCTTGAATTGAGGGCTTGAGCAGTATCGGTATAATGAATGGATACGCCTAGTTATGATATATCTTTGGTTTCCCGGGATAGTTTTACGTTGGCTTATGTATTTCATTATTTCTTATATCTACGTTATATATTTTTACATTATTAAATTTACATTGAAATATACATTGAAATATACATTAATATTGTTTCTAATTACAACCGTATTTATGTAATTAACAGGATCTTTAATTATTGGCTTTAATCAGTTCTATTGGGTACAAGGGCCAAGGGCCAAGCTATAATCAAGCTGTGTGCGGCTCGGCACTTCTCAATATAAAAGTTTTCATACATAAAATTGTAACTAACTATTCTAGTATCGAAATACATATCACCAGCAAAAGAAATGAGTGATTCAGACAAGTTACCGGGATTGGCATCAGATGCCGTTCTCAAGCAATCTATTCCAGTTCCTGATAGTTTTGTTGAAATCAAGGGTATCGATTACTCTAAAGACTCCGCTTATAATATGAAGGCAGTTGATTTAATAGAATCTATGAAGAACATGGGATTCCAGGCTTCATCTGTGAGTCAAGCGTGTGAAATTATTAACGGCATGAGAAGCTGGAGAGGTAAACATATCGATTCTTTACCTGAACATGAAAGAACAGGGGAATTTGATGATGAGGGATACCAAAAATCAACGATTTTTATGGGCTATACTTCCAATTTGATCTCATCTGGATTAAGAGATACATTACGGTTCTTAGTCCAACACAAAATGGTCAGTGCTATCGTATCTAGTGCTGGTGGTATTGAAGAAGATTTAATCAAAGTCTTGGCACCTACTTATATGGGTGACTTTAGTTTACCAGGTAAAGGTTTAAGAGACCAAGGTATGAACAGAATCGGAAATTTATTGGTCCCAAATGACAATTATTGTAAATTCGAAGAGTGGATCGTCCCAATTTTGGACAAATGTTTGGAAGAACAAGAGGAAGGTATGAAAAAAATGGGTTCTGATGGATTAAATGCAGACTCTCCAGCGTGCTGGACTCCTTCAAAATTAATCAACAGATTAGGAAAAGAAATAAACGACGAATCTTCCGTCTTGTATTGGGCTTATAAGAACGACATTCCTGTATTCTGTCCTGCCTTAACTGACGGGTCGATAGGTGACATGCTTTTTTTCCATACTTTCAAAGCTTCTCCACAACAAATTAGATTAGATATTGTTGCTGATATCAGAAAATTAAACTCGATGTCGATGGCTGCTTCCAATGCTGGAATGATTCTTTTAGGTGGTGGGTTGATCAAGCATCACATTTGTAACGCCTGTTTAATGAGAAATGGAGCTGATTACGCCGTTTAC